TGTACAATGTGTATAAATACAAAGTATCGTGTCTTCGTTAATTCATTAATCTCGTGACAACGTGTCGCGTGTCGCTTAGGTTCAGAGACGGTACGAGCGTAATATTAATTAGAATGATCGTTTCTTTTAAATATATATCGTTTACCTTGTCCTCCATCTTTCACAGCGGTCCATCGAATACTCGTTCTTCGTCGTTCCCTTCGTTCCCAAGTAGTCAAATCTCGCCACGTCCTTAGGTCTTTCTAATGCTGCTTTAGTTTCTTATGCCTATACCGCTTAAGTTTTAACATCGCGCGTATGGTAATGTAATTAAGTACTTACTGACACACAGAGAGATTCATCGAAAAATTTGGTTTGCAAAAAATTCGGTCGACCGCCTAAGGCGAGGTCGCCGCGTACACGTAGTTTCGTTAACAGTATTAATGGTAAACGACAGTACGTTACGATAATTACTTAGTACGTTGCATTTTACGGATTCACGGTACTCTCTTCTTTCCCATTCCTCGTCCCTTTTCTCCTTCCCAGTTAGCCGATACGTAGTTTCTCGCCGAATCGCTTAACCTTACCTATCTTACAAGTAACTCGTTTACAGGAAAAAATCGAATCTCGCTGTCGATACTTCGCTTATGCCTTACATCGATCTAATTAAGTCTGAGAGACTAACAACGAGGAGAAACTCTTCGACTCTTTTATTCCTTTCTATTGCTCTGCGTGGGCCTGTGTATACGTATATGTGTGTGTGTGTGTGTGCGTATCTGTCCGTGTATACGTGTGTGTGCATGCGACACGATCCATCGCCACTGCGACGTGGAATCGTTTCCGACGATCTTCGATCGATCTTGCTTTCCGGGAAACACGGCGAGCGTTCGACGAGGAGTAGGAGACATCCGCGAAATCGAATACGAATAAGGATCTCGAAAAATAAGAAAAAAAAAAGAAAAGAAAAATCGAGAAAAAAGAGGAAAGAAAGGGAAAAGGGGAAGAAGGTGTAAAAGGGAAGAGAAGGAAAAAGGGCAGAAGCTCTGGGGATTTCTCCGCGTCTCTCCTCGGCTCGACGATTTCTGGGTCGCGATCGAAAGCGATTCGAGGGCTCGAGACGTGCTTCGAGATCCATAGATCGCGAGGAACCGCGAACGTGTTGGATATCGGCGATGACGAGACGAAGGAGCGAGGAGAAAAAAGCAGCAGGGAGCCCAGTATCGATGCTTGATCGTCTGAAATATTACCGTGCATCCGGCTTCGCGGTTCGAACGTAAATTCCACTCGGTTACGTGTATCCATCTCCGGCTTCCGTTTACGCGTTCGAGAACATAATATCTTACGAGAGCATCTCGAGTCCTTTTATTTCGTGCACGATAAATTCCCAAGGACCCAGTCGACCGTCTAATGCAGGATTTCACGTTACAAAGTATGCGCTGTAATATTTCGAGATGGGGTTGCGCGAGTTTGCGCCGGGGGTTGTATACGGTATTGTTGGAGCGAACGGGGAATCGAAGGGTGAAGCCCGAGTCAAGGAGACAAATATCGCGATGCGAACGCTTCCATTCGTTTTTTCGTCCCTGGTATTTCTCTTAATTCTACATGCCAACCGCTAATATCGCCGCGGAACGCCACAAAGGTAGCCGAGGTAACAAATGCGCGTCACGTTCCTCGAGGCAGTCGAAATCAATTTCCATAGAGGCAACCGCGTCGAAAAGTCTTGCCCGCTTTTATCCCCGGTTTTCCACGCGAAACCGCTCGATGGTTAACCGTGCAAACGTTGCGTTTGCACCCCGTTGCGGCCCACTCGAATAATCATCGAGGGTGCATCGACCCCGTTTCGCCCTTTCCTATACACGCGATCGATGCATCGAGATCGTTACTCTCTCGATGAAAATCGAAATAAAAATATCTATCCCGGATCTATACCCCTCGCGTACGCGCGTTCCATCGATCTCGGCTACGCCGGTAATCCGCTCGATCTTATCGGCGCGACCCTTATTGGCCGCGCGCAGCACCAGAGGAACACCGTGTCGTTCGTCTACCGCCGCGACACTTTGCCCCAGTTCGCCGTGTAACGCGTCGAGCTTGGTCCGAGAGAGACAGTGGTAATGCGGGGAGAAAGCCAGGCACACGCGTGTATTACGTACAACGGCACACGTATGTACGCTTTATTGATTTATCGCTGTAGCGCGTTGCGTGTCACGTAGATGCGTGCACGCGTGACATATGCACGGGGGTGGCTGTAAAGGGGCTGCGGCTAATTCGTAAATTAGTTTCGAGCGTGAGCTTGGAATACGCGCACGGCGCGTGTATATGGAAATCGTTTTATCCCGGGAATGTTTTATTTAGTCGTTCGTTTGGAACGCCGACCGGGTAATTCGTGGTAAAAATTTCTCGTCCATCTTTCCGGCTGGATATATCCTCCACGGTTATCCTCGATGACGATCCTCGATGACACGGTCGATCCGGAGAGCAAAAGCCTTTTTTCGAAACACTTTTTCCGCCTTTGGAAACGGAAACGGAAACAGAGGGCGCAGGTGTGGGTGTGCTCGCGTGTCGGATTCGCGCGAAGCGTATACGAACGCTCTTAAGGCTTAAACTTCGCCCGGAAATAGCCGGATTTTGATTCGATTTCGAGCACTGAAGCCCGAGGGTAATCTTTTATTCGGGTTCCTCGCGGGATGATCTTTAATCTGCGAAATAGAGTGACCAGATTGAACGCAACGGTGGAAAAGTTGCGGGGAAATTGTTTTCCGAAATTTGTTCCGCTAGGTGGGCCGTTCTCGATTTGCGACCATCGTTTTTCGCGCTCTTTGATTCGTTTCGGATCACTGGCGGAGAGATAGGCATACGCCAACGTTTCCGCTCGTACCTGCAACCGTTCCGCCTATTCGGAACGCTCGTGTGAACGGATCGGACTGGCACGGTATCTCGTTTCTTGCGATTTCGATAACGATGGGAATGGAGATTAAGTACGTAGAGGCGAAATCGAATGGTCGGATAGGAGGAACGATGGAGAATCGGCGCGTGTATCGGTGAGCATATTCGATCGAGTAAAACCGATGCGCGGCCGGATAAAAGGGGTGGATGTTTGGTAAAAGTGGCGGCAGGTTCGTGCAGGTTTGATCGATTTCGGGGGTGGATACGGAGCCTTGGCGAGGCCGGCAGGCGTTAAATTATAAAGCGGCCGGTCGCGAATTGGCACCCCAGCTCGCAAACATTGCGTAATGCCGCGTAATAATTGAAACCGCACCGGTCCTCTGTGTTGGCTTCCACTGGCGCCAATAAACAAATAAAGCTGCGCGTTCATCTTTAAACACGGTCCTGTCGAAGTGGAGCGTAATCAGGTTTAATATTTCAAGCCGACCGAGCTGATATTTCCTCTGCGTGCCCGTTCTTCGCTCGCGACAATTTCAACCCCCGTCGCTGTCCATCGAGAATCATCCTTCTCTCTCCTCTCTCCTCCTCCCCTTTATACGCATCTCCGTTGTTCGATTTCGCTCTTAAACCGCGGAGAAACTCCCAAATCGCGTCTTCGCGATGACGCGTCATCGACCTTACCTCTTATTTAAATCGACAGAATTCGAGAAAACTCTGCTGATTAAACGATTACGCGATTAAACGTCGCCGCGTATATCTGTCCTATGGATAAACGGTGTGTACCTATTTAATAGGAAACATGCTCGTCTCTCGTTTCGTGCAATTGTCCTACGACGATCGTCCCGATCACGTCTCTCGTGAACTCGTGCTCGCTTCGAGATCCTCGCCCTTCACGCGAACGTGTCCCGATGTGCGTATATAATCTCGCAAAGAGTAAATATCGTTACACGCGCCACGCGTGTTACCCGTTCCGAAAGTTTCCGTTCCGCGTTGCGCGGGAACGGGCTAACTCGAGGCAACACTCCGCGACGTGTCCCAACCCCCGTGTTCTCTTTCTCGGTCCCCCCGACACACCGCGATTTTCTCTCCCCCGAAGAAACTTCGCGCCGATGGTCGTTGCCTCGGACATTACGGACACCCCGTCTACGCGCCCCCCGCGAATCGAAGCGAGATCACGCGAACGTAAAGTCAACTAGGTGCCCGTCGGTGATACCGGAGAACGGAGACTTTCCGAACGAGCCACTCGCGACGGCCGTATTATATACACACATACACGTAGCTGCTATACATATCTACATTCACGTACATCGATAGTAAGTGGATTGTCGCGACTTTTAATTTACAATCGGACCGTGTGCCGTCTGTCGAAGGAACTCGGAGAAGAAAGAATGCCGGGGGTGGCTGTGCGCATTCCTCTTCCCTGTGGAAGGACGAAATGGCGAGGTGGGTTGGATGAAAATGCACGACGCGCGACTTCTCGGAGGCGAGATCGCGAAGCACGGCTCGCTTCCAGCGGGAAAAGTCTCGGACACTTTTCGTTCGACGCGTAATTAGTTCGCTATCGCGACGCAGCCGCGTTTTCCAACGCTGGCTGCTGCCAAGTTCCATCTGTCTTCGATGGTGTCACGTTGAATCGACAACCAGTCGGAAGTTGTATCCGATCGAGGTAGCAGCGGCAGCTGTTGCCGAAACACACCGATAGTCCGCGACACCTCGTCGTGGATTCATGGCTGTCACTGGCAAACGGGCCATCGAATTTGTCGGCTCTCGCTCTCGCGATTTCTTCCCGGACACGTTATCCTTGAAATTCTCCGCGCGCCCGTCTCCGAGGTTCGCACTCGACGCGATCCAAGGTATCCGAGGTATCGCGCGTACTCGAATTTCGCTCGAGCTTTATATATTCCAAAGTTCGCCGCGAGAGTTTTCCCCGATCCCGAATTTGCCGGGACTCTCGCGCGTAAACACCTTCCGCGCGTGAAACTTACTGCCGCAAGGACGACGCCTCAAACGTTCCAACTCGAGGCTGCTTCCATCGGCGTCCCACCTCGCTTGCGTCGCAAAGGCGATCGAGCCGCCGGTCGATTTTCCATCGCGGTACCTGGAGCACGTTCGCGAACGTTCGTCCAGGCTCGACGGGATTATTTGAACAGTATCCTGCGGAACGCGCGACGGAAGTCCTTGTTGAAGACGGTGTAGATGAAGGGGTTGAGGGCAGAGTTCATGTAGCCCAGCCAGAAGGCGATGACGAACGCCTGAGTGGGTATCTCGATGCCCGGGAACAGAGGTTTCGCGATGTAGAGGACGAAGAACGGTAGCCAGCAGGCGATGAAGCTGCCCATGATAAAGCCGAGTATCAGAGTCGCTCGTTTCTCCTTCTTCCTCGCCAGTCTCCTCTTCTCTCTCTCCGGGTCCCGTGGTTTCGACGACTTGGGCTCGGTTCCCGACTCGTCCTTGCCAGACGCACGCCCCCCGTCGCTGTGCTCTTTCTTCAACTTGCCCAGGTTCCTGCGGCCGAAGATCGGCTGGCAGAGTCGAAGCTTCAGAGGCTTCACCACGGCACACCTGGTCACGACGCCGCTGTCAGACGACGACGGGTCGAACTCGGACACCATGTCGACGTCGATGCCGACGCTCAGTGCTCTGCTTCGCGGCGGCACGCTCGATTGACCGTCGCCGTTCACCGACAGCGTCGCTTTCAGGCTGCTCTTTTGCACCGGCACCGGGATCGTCACCTGTCCAACAGATACCATAGAACAGGGTTACTTTTGCTCTCACGACGATCGGCGGTAGTCGTTTCGAGCATCGCGCGTGATCGATTCGATCTCCATACCAGAGCGATAAAGCACCGTGGCCCCGATTCGCGGCACCTTTATTCGATTCTGTTTGTACGAGGAAACAGTCGTGCGAGGAAACTGAAATCCAATAGCGAATTTCTGCTTTCGGAGATTTACTGGCTCCACTTTTATGCGCCGCGCCGCTGCCTGGCGAATCTCGAGGACTGCGTCGTTGTATCGCCAAACAGGATGTATTCGCATCCCGACCACGAAACCCGAGTTATTGGGTAAGTGCATTCGGGATGCGCGCGTGGAGACAGGTGTCTTTCGTGTCTCGAGCTATTCGATCCCGGGGAATCTGCTACGCTTAGAAAAAGACGTTCGCCAGAGATGTTTGACGTTTCGCTACCGAGTGCGGAAAATTCAGGGAAAATAAGAGAGGATGCCCGGAGGGAACGGCTCGAATCGGAATACATTTGAACGAGCTCGTAACACGGGTCACTTCCAGTTCCGTCGTAACGAAGGATAATGTCTGCTCGACTTCAGGTACGAGTACGCGCGTTAAAGTACCCGTAGAATTCGAAATGCGTGCTCGTAACTCGAGCGTGATAGATGGCCGGACTCGCGGCGAGTCGTGGAAGAGGGTAACATCGTTAAACCCACGGAACGCCGTGTCCCATGTCAGTTCTCGAATACTGGGTACGCGTTTTAGGAGGCGGAACATTCTCATCGGAAGTACACCCTTGCCGTGGAGCAATGCAAAAGTAACGCGACCTATGTGTAGGATGTTTTTTAAAATTTATCGAGGTGCGATGGTCGAAGCGTTTCTGCAGGGAACACTTCGCCAGGTCTAGAGGACTCGTTAGGATCTGGCTGATCTGGCCAGATGGACCGTAGGAGGTCGGGGCCAGGCCACGCGAGGTACTCTGCGTTGCAGGAAAGAAGTCATCTGAGAAACTTGTAGGACCGAATCCCCACCAGCCCAATCATTCTAACATCGTGGCAGAAGTAGAGTAAAGCGCTTCCCTTATTGGTAGAATTGATCCTTTCCTATTAGCCCGGTCATAGAACACCGTGTGACAAAGAAAGCGAACAAAGCAACGAGACAAAGTGAGACAGACGCAAAAATAGATGCAAGAGCGTAGACTCATCCCAAAGCGTAGTAGTGCTTCCAATTCGTTGCAAGTTACTTCTGAGATAACATTTCTTTCGCGGATATCTTACGCCTATATTAACGTGTCACGTTACCGAACTTGGAGATAGCAGTTTCGACAGTGTCATAGAAGAGTGGGTATTACTAACGAGAGTATAGGCGGAGCAAGTGGAATACCCCCCTTGCCACGCAACCGAACGAGATGACTTCTTTCCTGGAACGCACAGTAGTCTGTTTTTCCCCGCGAGGGTGACCCTTTAGAGGGCCAAACTCGGAGAGAGGAGTCTCCTCCACTCTTGGCTCAGGATGCCACGAGAGTAATATTATTATTCGTATAATGTTTGTCTTATTGGCGATCATGGGTGCCCACCGTGACGCCTTGGTAACGGTTGACAATCGACTAACTGTCAATTTTCGTTCAATTTTTACAATTGCAAGTAGTTCAAGCGCTCCCATCATCAATGACCACCGTGACGTGACAGGAGAAACCGTGACCAACGTGACAGTGAAAACGTTAAGGGATTAACCTTCAGCGTGTCCTTTTCTTCCATGGGGATGCTGCTTCCTCCCCCAGGATCCGCCTCGGAAGTACTGACATCGCTGGCAAAGTCGCAGGTGACGATGGGTATTTGAACCGGCTGGTTCTCGATAGTGGCGACGTTCTCCATCACCGAACCGGGTGGCTTCTTCGTTTCGGTGGCCGGCGTGCTCTGCGTGAAGCTGGTCTGTCTGACATCCGGCGACTCGGGTGGTATGACCGCGCGAGGACGCGGCTGCTTCCGGATGCCGCGTCGCGCGCGGGCCTTCGCCGCGAAGTAAATGCGTATGTACACGAACACCATGATGCACGACGGGATGTAGAAGCTGCCGAGCGCGGAATAAACGACGTAGCCGATGTCCTCTGAAAGCTGAAACAGAAATGGATGGAACGTTGAGTGGCCACTTTGTCGCGCAATGGTTTTTCCTTCCTTTTGTTTCTTCGCGGCTAATCGTAGTAATTTGTCGCTCGAATGTGTTTCGTCGTTCAGAGCTGGTGGACCAGTTGGCGTGCACGGCACAACTGTCCGGCTATTCGAGCGCGTACCAGAACGTAAGGCAGAATATTGGAATCTTGGTAAAAATTCGGCATTTCCCTTTGGCTTTGCACGGTTCACCAGCGAGTAATAGGAAATTTTTTACTGCAGTGGGATTAACGTAAATATATTGTCTCGACAACTAGGAGGACGCTGAACGAACTTTCAATCGCGCAAAGCATTTCAAGTTTCGTGCGATTGCGTTCGTTACGGGAGACGGTGATGGGCAAAAGAGCGTTGGGGATTCATCTCGCGTTCAGGGGGTTCAAAGGGAATAAATTTACCGGGATAACTTTCGTCGGCTGGGAAAAAAGTTGCTCGCTCAATTTGACAAAATATGGGATTACGCGACAGTACGCTTGATTTTTTCCGAGTTTCTTCGCAGTCGGGGACTGGATCTACGGGACCTGGGTAAAACCGATTCGTGAATGAACGCGATTTCCATATTCCGGTGAAACTTTCGATCCTGTCAGCCCGCGAAGCAGAGGGTGGGTTACGTCCTTTCCGTGTAATAACTTTTACGGTCACGCTGCCGTACGAGCGATACGCGTACGCTAGAACTGGGTTACGCTGTTCTACAATGCGAACGGCGACGTTCCGCTTAAAAGTGACGTGCACGCGGCCTAGAACGTGAAATACGAGCGCGTGTATTACACGCGCGTTAGAATTTAATTCAATTTAATTTACTCCACGGTCTCCTTCAAGCTCGCTGGAATAAAATGGGATGCTGCCCCTCAACAGGGCTCGTTTGATTCCGTGAAATAACTCCATCGTCACCGGAGACCGACCTGGTCTCCCATTTGCATTTGAATTAACAACCAGGCGTATTCATTTACCTATTAATCGTCGCAACGGACAGATTCGTCGATTCTTTTCATTCGACGAAGACCTTTGACCTACGATAATTCGAATTCCTCGCACGGAGCGGAGATTAGTGTAGGGATGTTGAGAAGGCAGCTTACTAACAGTGGTAAATATAAGAAGATTTATTCTGAACTGATTCTAAACTTTTTGTAAGTGCTAAGGACTCTCACACTGACTCTGGCTAGCTATCTGTCAAAAACTGTTTCCTTCCTCGAGCTTACACTCTTATTTAACTCTTTGTAGACAGAACAGTTCGAAGATAACCGTATCTGGTTGCTGCCATGATAGGAATTTCAAATTGTCAGTGCACATTCCT